GTTCTACATGAAATAACTGAATTTCCGATGAAATTGTAATATCAATTATCACGTGACACATAAAATTAATTTCTTCAGGAGAAAAGCTTCATAAAAGCAAGGTACGCCCGAAATATATACATTCAACATTTGACGCAGGACCGGTATATTTGATTTTTCATTGTCAATAATACCTCTTCAGCTCTCAAGAACGATAGAAATGCATCATGGTTGCAGTGAACTCAGTCAATGTTTTGAAATAGGAGTATATTATCATAAAGGGTGCATGTATCTAAATAACACCGAAAAAATTGAAGGAGTGTTTCCATTCTATCAAAAAAAGTTCACATAAACATGTGCATAGCTTGCTCCGTTTTTGAGATACATCAACTGAAGTTGGACGTATTAATTGTCTTTGTTTATAACCCTCCTGCATATGCTTTCATGGTGACAAAATGTAGTATGGTTGGATAGGTACTGAGAAAGCCCCGAAAATTCAAAATGATTCTAATTGGGGTTATTGAGTAATCTCAATGGAAGTCTTGAAAACACCTACAGTTGAAATTTGGAGTCGAATCGAATTTTTATTGTTTCCTCAAAAACTAAGCTAGATACGAAAATCACACAGAGGATAAAAAAAGTTGTTATTTCAATAGTTCAATCTAATGAAAATATGAAACTCAGAAAAACCGGTGGTGTACAATGACATTCACCATGAATATCGATAAATTTACCCACTGTGACGCCACTGGAAATATTATTTCGAATCTGATTGCACTAGAAGAAGCTTCATATTACTATTAACAAAACCACAAGTATTATTGAAATGGATGGAAAGTCAATTGAGAAACGAATAGAAAAAAGATTTTTCATGGAAATAATAATACCCTGTATCTCGAAAAAGAAGCAAGTTAGGACACATTTTTTTTTTATCGATTGGAGCGCACGAAAGGGAATCCCTATAATGTTCAAACAACATCGTGCGTTCCTAGGGAGGATAGGGACAGGAGGTAGGTATTGGAATTTTTTTTGAATTTTTGGAGATTATAATATGTTGTTGGGAATACTTCCACAGGCAATGAATTCCAGAGCCTAGCCGTTCTATGAATGAAGGAGTCTTGATAAAGTGCAGTTCGAAATCTTTCGAGGTTGACAACGAAAGGATGTGCTGACTGGGCTTGTCTAGTTCGTCTGATTGGTATTGCTAGTGAAGGGATGATTGCAGAGATTTCCGAAGAACATTTCCCGTGGAAGTATCGATAGAAAAGTGAAAGGTCGCCGACCTTTCTACGGTGTTCCAATGATGTCAAAGAGCGAGTGAGTGTGGCGTCACCCACCAGGCGAATGGCTCTTCTCTGGATGGAATCTAAGAGCATCAGCGTATGTTTTGGTGCTGAACCCCATATGTGGGAACAGTATTCTAGAACAGGCCGTATCTGCGCTTTGTAGATCATGAGAAGCTGTTGAGGTGTAAAGTAGCTTTTCGCACGAAACAAGAATCCGAGTTTTTGTGAAGCAGCTTTTGCGATGGATCTGACATGATTATCCCATGAAAGAGTGTTGCTGATGGAAATACCGAGCATAGATATGGTGGGCTTGGTGGGGATGGTGGAGCCAGACATTACAATATCGAGCATACTGAACTTTAATTCCTAAAATATCACAAGGAATCACCCCTTAAATTTTTTCGGTGTATGGGGTGATTCAAAATTCGATGTGAATATCTTAAGGACATGTGTCCTAAAATGTACCCCATTTCGGCCAATAGAAGTGAGGACCCCCTTCAACCCATCCTCCCACAAAACTGGGTTTACATAATTTTTGAAGAAAGAATGAAATAAAGTGTCTAAATGGACAGGGGTGAGGGGCCGCCAATTTTCAGAAAATTTGATCTGTTATTGTATTCACAATTTCAGAATATATTTTTCCTTTACCTAACTTAAACTGGCTGTAACTTGGAGGGGTGAATTTCAGGACACATGTTTATACAGTGTGACCCACTTCTAATGGAACCACCCCTGTATCTTACGTAATCGTTGGGTAAGGATCCTGAAATTTGCTGGAGCGAGAGATATACCAAAAATGCACTCTATGACCAAGTGGGGTCATCTTCAGTGATATACACTGCTCGCCAACAGCCATGGAACCACCCCAATTTCCGGAAAATGATATTAGGAGTCAAAATAGGTTGAAAATCACGTCGGATTCGGAATCAGGACGCCCAAGTTACTAACTATTCAAAGTTTTCCTAGAAGATTTTCAGTTCAGAAAAATTAAATTTTGTCTCACTTCTCATGGAAGAACCCCCGTATCTCACGTAATTATTGAGGTAGGGTTCTGAAATTTGCCGGAGAAAGAGAAAGTCCAAAGATAGAGTCAATTATGTGAGATACGGGGGTGCTTCCATAAAAAATGCGACAAAATTTTATTTTTCCGAACTGAATATTTTCCAGGAAAATTTGAATAATTAGTAAATTGGGCATCCTGGTTCCAAATCTGAAGTGATATTCGACCTATTTTGACTCCTAATGTCATTTTCTGGAAATTGGGGTAGTTTCATGGCTGTTGGCGAGCAGTGTATATCACTGAAGATGACCCCACTTGGTCATAGAGTGCATTTTTGGTATATCTCTCGCTCCAGCAAATTTCAGGATCCTTACCCAACGATTACGTAAGATACAGGGGTGGTTCCATTAGAAGTGGGTCACACTGTATAAAGAAAGTCTTATTTTGATCCCAACAAAATGTCCCTGAAATATTTACATCGAATTTTGGATCGTCATCACAGATAACTTATTCTTGGTTCTATAATATCATTTCACATATCAGAAGTAGGTATCAATATAAATGTTGAACCATCACAATTGAAACAGAGATGTCCTGAATTATACAGGAATGCCTAATACGAGTTAGGCACCTATACGCGCAGGGCGATAAAGTTGTCCGCTGGTGGTGAAGTGCTACTTTTGAGGTTTCCTGAATAATCCCTGAAAAATATTATTTTCAGGAATATGTCTATCTGATATACCCGCCGTTCCAGATCTTGATGACATAGAAGAATTGAAAGATAGATGCAATAAAAAAGGTGGCCCTGGTACTTTCGACAAAGTAAAGGTAGATATTTTCAATTTCTAGGCACTTTAGGCCATCAATCATATTTTCAGGATAACTGTAAAAAGTCTCAGGCTGGAACCTATTTCTTTACTGTGCCTACTAGTCCAAATGTTCAATAGTAGATTGTTTTATTAAGATCAAAAGTGACACTTTGTTTGACAAGCGAATTTTGCATTTGCGAGGCGGAGCGTTCAGCGAAACCGAGCGAAAGCAAAATTTGCGAGTCGAACAAAGTCACTTTCGATCCGAATGAAACATGCTATTTTTTCTGCAACCGAAACAATTAACTCAAATAAACATGTGAAGTAACCACCAATGCCGTGCAATATGTATGCAATGCAACAAATATTGACAAATAATCCATGTGGTGAGAATATTCTACCTGCACTAACAGCAGGTTAGGTTTTCTAGGATGTTCGAATTGATGTAGTTTCAATATAAATACAACCACAGAGTGACATATTTGTGTATGGACCAGGTGCTCTGGAAGGACGTGGAAAATGTTAGGTTAGTGAGCATATAAACAATGATAATAGTGATTATTTATTCCTCTGCTTACTACTACTACACTGTGTTTGACCTGCGATAATCAAAAAATGAAGCTAAACAATATCGTTGTTTGAGACAAAAAAACTATTGCTTGCCGTGATTATTCAAAAACAAAATATCCATCCTGAGAATAACGAATGAAATACAGATCAAGCAAGTATTTGAATCTTGAAGGCTTCCCTGATCAAAACAAAAATACTTAACTGAGATGTTAATAATTCCAATACTAAACTATGATAAGGTGTATTTATATCTCTAGCATGGGTATGAAATGCCAAATCTGCTGAAATCGGAAACAAATCAGGTATGCGTCTCAACCTAAATAACCAACCATCACAATGTTGTTTATTCTTGATGACGTCCAGTAGATCCTTTTCAGTTCCTAGGAGCTAAAGTTCAACTTTAGCTCCTAGGAACTAAAATTCAACTTTAGCTCCTAGGAACTAAATATGTTGCCTAGCAACATACCTATTTTTGTGTCAGTAATAGAAACGTCAATTTAAGAGCTAATTTTGGTATCAAAATGGACGACTTTTGTGTCGGTTGCAGAAAAAAATGTTTTTCCACGGCTATAACACAAAATTGCTCTTGTTTTACTGTGTTCGATACATCAATGAGGTACCTTGAATGTCATCAATTTTATTTTCGTATCTGATATCACAATGACTCCATTGTGTTATTATTTGGAAAAAATCTCATCAATCATGGAATGTCAAATTGCAAGCAATGACAGCTCTGTCTAATAGATGAGCATTACTTGACAGGAAATCAGATGGCTTGGAAGAATATTCTATGAACATTCAATTCGATATATTCTCAGAATATTCTTCATTAATATTCTGAGGATGTTATTTTTGAATATTCTGAAAATATTGAGAATCGAATCAAAATATATGATATTGATGTTTCTATCCTTGTATCAATATTTATATTGTTTACTCTGACACAAACTATTATTCTCTAGCCTCAATTCTGATTATCCCACTAATTCAGTGTCATCATCTTGCTATTCATTTTATTTATCTATAAGGTTCGTGGCGAAGTGGTAAGGTTTCAGGTTCGAAAAGATTCAATCACAAGAAAGTAGGTTCGCATCTTCCACCGGAGCAAGCTGTTTTCAATTTTCTTCCTTCTCCTTCAATACACTAGGAATATTCTCCGAATATTTAAAACGGTCCATTCCGAATGTTCATAAAAGCTCCCTAAAATATTTGTATCATATTGTGAGAATATTCTGAGAATATTCAAATATTCTCGAAGAATATCCTATGGACGTTCTATGAATGACATTGTACTATCTGGGTCTGGTGTTTTTTTTTCATAGGCAGCCAAAACCGAAACGCAAGAATGTTTGGAAGGCCTAATCAACATAGAAACCCTAAAGAACGAAGTGGAAGAAGCCAAGAAGACCGGCTCTATGGACGAAGTGTTTGGAAGATACTGCAACAAGAGGCCACAGATGACGGATTGTCTGAAGAAAACGCGTGATGCGATCGCTCCATGTTTGGAAGAGAATGAGAAGAACGCCATCAATTTCACAGCCAACATTGTGAAACAGTTGGGAGATTTCGCTTGTGTCAAAGATGGAGATAGAATTGCACGTGAGTATGCTCGGGTTTCTCCGATGATGATTTCATGGCGAACAAGGATTCGCGTATAGCCATCAAGATGTTTTCCATAGACGAATTTTCAGTCCATTCAAAATGATTCTCACAAATAAAAAAAATACATTTGTATCCAGCTGCCTTATCATAGATGAAATATACAGAAAAAAAATAGAAACTCGTGAAATAATTTGCATGACAATGGGAATAGATTAGATAGAGAGATGATATAGATATGATTCAATGTTCGTCGTGGCATATAGCCGGGAAAGTACTGGTTTTCTATTGAATATATGAATAAATAGATAGATACATTTATTGAATCCTTCACGATCATTTAAAAATGACATATATAGGATACGTCAGACAATAAGGAATCACACACAATTTATATACCAGATACATGAAAATATAACAGAACCGTTACTCAGAAATTCTTTGAGTTTAATTTTGAAATGATTTTCTCGTTTGTGTACATTTTTTATTTCGTCAGATAAGTGATCATAGAATTTTGCTCCCTTATAAGATGGATAATTTTCATACAGACGAGTTGAATGTTTCTCAAGCCTTATCAATTCACTGTGCCTGGTAGATATACACGTATGAAAGTCACAGTTTCGATCATAATTCTGCAGTTGTTTCTTGAATAATAAAATACATTTGTAAATATAAATGCACGGTACACACAAGTTTTTATTCTCAATAAAGTGTAGCCTACAAGATTCTCTGTAGTCAATTTCTTATATTTTAGCCGTATGATCCTTTCCTGTAAGACAAATATTTTGACGAACATCCCCAAATGGCAATATTCTAAGAAATATGGGAATATACAACAGCAAAGTAAACATTCAGCAGTTGAGCCTTATTTGAAGTGGACATCAATTGTCTAATAGTCGGACTTGCTCTACCAATACAGAAGCCGAATTGACCCACACGTGACCAACTAACCTCGTTTATCAGCGATAAAATTTTGACATCGTGACTGGTCAAGATTGCTTTGGATACAAATCTGAGACAATAACCTAAGTTCCTACTTTATTTTATTTACTTATAATTCGCGTTAGTGAGATATTCTGTACGAAAGGCAAGACAATTTTATTCTGGCTGGACGTTTCATGTGTAATTTAAAAAGTATGCATATTTGTTGACGGTCTGACACAACAATAATAGAATTCAAATTCCTTTTTGAAGTAATCTTCTTCAATTACCCAAGTTATTGTGACTGACTGATATTATTACTAGCTGACGTAGCGCAACTGTTAGGGTTGTTGCGCGAGGATACGAAGGTCGATGGTTCGAGCCTTCGACGACGATATACTTTTTTTTTAATTATTCCATGTCACATAAATTCAATTTATTTTGTTTGAATTGGATAGTACTTGTATACACTCTTTTGAGAGCAACCATCTCCAAGATAATAAAAAGAATACTGTTTATCAAAATTGTACATTCCACTTTGTGAATAACTATAAGTAGGTAGTTAATTTCTAAACAAGTAAATACTGTATTTCATTACTATCATTATGTTCTTCTTCGCAGTTCGAGTTGGAATATACTTAAATTATGTTTCCTATTTCTTATATATATTGTCTCATTCAATCATGAAATAGTCATACGAATACAACTCGTGATACTATTTTTCCTGGAAATATTCGTCGATTGACATACTCCTGCTTGCTGCTCTAATTTCGCTCATGACTAGGCAACAAGCTGTCGTAACAATCACCGAATATTTCCGGCAAAATATTATCACTTGTGGTATTATATATGAGAATATTTTTTTTTTCAATACTTTCATATCCAATCAAGAGGTTCAAACTTGAACGATGGTAACTTGTTATTTTTATAAACCTCCAATCGCAGATTCGCAATTATTATGGATATCAATACATCCAATCTCTTTTCTGAGATTGCCATACTACAGAAAAGTACAAAATAGATATTTATTATACGAGGGAAAAAAGTTGTAGATTTTAGTTCCAGGCTGAAATGTAATATTTTCCCAGTGTATAATAGACTATTTTTCTGTGACGGGAAAAAAGTTTGGCATTTCATCTCTGTTGGCAGGTTATAAAATGTCACTTTCCATAAATTACTGTTTTCTCGTGGGAAAAAAGTGAGTACTTTTTTGTTGATGGCTTATGTTGTGCTATAGTTCCGAAAAATGAGTCAATAATACCGTCTCCGAGAAAGAAGTCCTTTTATCTTCCATTCCATGGTGGAAATATATATTCGACTTCGCGGTTACGTATAATACGAAACAACCACTAAATTCGCAATTTCTTTAAATCAAATCACAGAATTAGACTGACAGAAGTAACATCAGATATTTGATTTGGATTTGGAGCTAAAATCTACTACTTTTTTCCCTTGTATAATAAATAACTATTTTTTTCTGTGAAAGGAGAAAGGACGAATCAATATTGAGATATATTCCCGTGGGAAAAAAGTAATTTATGGAAAGTGACATTTTATAACCTGTTAGCAGATATGAAATTTCAAACTGTTTTCCTGTCACAGAAAAAATGATAAAAGTGTGTTGATAAATACACAACATTTGAAATAATGATAACGGATGAGCTAATATTTTCTATGTTGTGTACCTATTTATCAACACACTTTTATCATTTTATTTTCTACTTTTTAGTTCGGATATTTACAAAAGCGTGTTTTCTAGAGGTTTCTATTTTTTGTAACCAAGGCCCCGCAGTTGAAAGTTTGTAATTTGTGCACTTGTTGCCTTCCTTGGATGTGGTAACTCTCTATTGTAAGTAGTTATTCGAAAGAATAAAAGCGTACATTCGGAATGTTGGTGAAAAAACATTCGAAATTTTGGTGGCGGAACGGATTATCATACCATACGAGTACCTACCCAGACAGCACCAGATATTCCATGAATCTCCCTATCATATTCCTTTTGGAATATTGGAATATTCTAGAAATAATCTGGAATATTCCGGAATATCTGTGGAATATTCTCTAAATATGCAAATGGGAATTCCTCAGATAATCATAGAATATACCCATAAGAATATTCTATGTTGAATGTTCCAGGAATATTCCAATAAACATATTCTAAAATTAAAAAAAGGGACCCAAGTAGGGATCGAACTCGTGACCTCAAGACTATCAGAGCAACGCCTTGACCACTAGGCCAGTAATCGAATTGAATAATCTTATACATATCAAGTTCTTGTGGGAGCATTGTTCGAAATCGGATCATAAACACTTTTTGTTTCAAAATCCCCTTACATCTAATTGATGTTCGATACTCACATCTCTGAAATAATAAATGTTATTGATGTGTTGAGAAACATAGGAATATTCATGGAATATTTCATGAATATACACCACAGAATATTCGGTTGAGAATATTTCATGAATATACCGCACAGAATATTCAGTTGGGTATATTTCATGAATATACCGCACAGAATATTCAGTTGGGTATATTCCATGAATATACAACAGAGAATATTCAGTTGGGAATATTCCTGGAAGATTCATACCTGAATATTCCCTGAACATGTCCGACTATTCACTTTGGAATATTCCTTTTAGATGTTAGAGGCATGTATATATTCTAGGAATAATCGATGAATATTCGGAATATACTCCTCCTTTTCAGCATATTTAGAGAATATTCTATGAATATCCAGTGCTGTCTGGGTATACTTCGTTCAGGATACCGGCGTGTTTCTGAAAACTATCAAATTATGCTTTTGTCATCTGTCTTTGAGGAGTGTGCGAAGTTTCAATTTAATTAGGCATTTTGAAATGTGTTGAAATCACCCGTCACTCTAGATGTAACTATTCACTATAACTGGATATAAAAAAGATAAAGAAAAGAAAAAAGCATTGTAATTAGTTATTCGAAGGAATAAAAGCGTACATTTTAAATGTTGGTGAAGGAACATTTGTAATTTTGGTGGCGGAACTTCATCCACCATTTTATTCGAAAAATTGAAAATCGCTCGGAGCATCATAACTGTAACGTGATTCGAACTAGGGCGTGCTCCATCTGAGAAATCTAATTTGAATTGTTCATCAACACAGGGTAAGGCTTGAGCGTTCTTCTGATGAACTATATGCAGAAAGATTGTAAATTAAGAAGTAGGTAATTGGATTGGTTGAAAATTCGTCTATATGGAAAAAATCCTGCTCATGTGAATTCTTACAATAATTTTAGATAAATAATACCTATACAGACATAATGATTTTTCAGTATTCGTGGCTGAAGGAGGTGTAGAATGTATAACATCACGTGCTGAAGGTATCAAGCAGTGCTTTAACGAAACTCTCAAGATTAACCCAGCGAAGTTGTCTTCAAGCTCACTACCTAACTTAACAATAGAAAAGAAGCACTGTAGGTAAGTTGAACAGTTGATAAATAAAATATCATACGGTGCAGAGTTCTCATATACGTATTAATAAACAATACAGATCATAACGGGTGCCAGGATGAAGCCAAAAATATGAAACAAATGAATATACATAAGGATTTGGTGGCATGATACGCATGCGCCATGCGCTATTGTAGTAGTCATCAAAGACATGCGTTTCGGTGGACAATGACGTTTACTAGCCTTTCAATCAAAGCAGTATGTGTCTGATCGTTTCAAAACTTTTCCTTATGGATATAGTCATTTGTCTTCAAAAATCGGCTTCATGTTTCGCTATGGAAACAGATAGAGATTATCCGTATTGATTATTAATACGTATATGAGAGTTCCGAGGTCGATGTCAGCTGACAATTTAAATATACACTGTGCGATTTCAATTCGCAGGAATCTGTTATTGACCGATTTTCAAAAACAAAAATTAGATAATATACTTCGTAGTAAGTACTCAACAAGCTCCCTTCGAAAATATTAAAATGTTCAAGGCCTACCTACCATTTTTTGATGAATGGGGCAAAACGATCACTATTATTTTGCTGGTTCTATAGATTCAATTGAACTAACAATTAGGAATTAACAATTAATAATCAACAATCA